AAATGATAAATGATGTAAAATAAAAGGTCCAGCTTCAGATCTACAGTTAGTGATGATAGAAGTGATCTTTGTGATTCTTCTCCTTCCTGATTGTTTTAGCTGCAGTTTATAAACTGCTGCTGGTGGTGCTGGTGGTGGTGGTGGTGTTGGGTTATAAAAACCACTATCTGGACCACTTGTTGCAACAAGCTTTATGTGAAGTGACTCATGCTGACTGTGTCACACAGCTCTTCCTGTCAGACTGAACACTGAAACTCAGTGAGCTCAGGAGAAGTATCTGAAGCTGCTGAGGCAGCAAGTCCAGCTAAAAAGGAAACCTCAAACTGCAGTGAGGCAACCTGATGAGGAGCAAACATCTGCTCTTTTCTTCTTCATCCTCAGATTAATAATTCTGTTCAATAATCTCAATCTCTCTATCTTATCACATGCCTGTAGTCGGGTCGAGGAGGCAGCAGGTCTGGTTTATATTATTTTTATCTGGCAACCTTTCAGCCACAGTGTGTGCGTGTTCTGAGCCACAGAAGAACCTGGTGTTGGTTTGGTTTTCATCCTGCCTGCTGTAAGAGGATCAGACTGAGCTGTGGTTAGAGCAGAAGAAACCTCTCTGTCTGTGCATGTGCTGTAACACCAGCAGGGGGTTCCCTGAAATCCTCCACTGGACCAGGATCTGGTTTCAGACAGAGCAGGGCTGGTATCATGACTGAACTGTGACAGAAACCCTGCGGGTCCACAACAAATGTGCTACCGGGTCCTCAGAGACCTGCTGGATTTCATAATGTCCTGGACCTGCTGTCCACCGAGGACGTGTGGTGAGACGAGGCGGGATGAGGAACCGTTTATAAAGCCTGATCACCAGATGTGGAGTGTTTGTTGCTGAAAAGCTTTAATACCTCCTGCAGGTATTCTCTGCTGTGCTTTTATTACCTGTGAGACCGTCTGCAGCTCCAGAGACCTCATGATGTCATCAGTGCTCCGGAGACCTCATGACATCATCAGTGCTCCGGAGACTTCATGATGTCATCAGTGCTCCGGAGACTTCATGATGTCATCAGTGCTCCGGAGACTTCATGATGTCATCAGTGCTCTGGAGACCTCATGACGTCATCAGTGCTCCGGAGACTTCATGACGTCATCAGTGCTCCGGAGACTTCATGACGTCATCAATGCTCCGGAGACCTAATGATGTCATCAGTGCTCCGGAGACTTCATGATGTCATCAGTGCTCCGGAGACTTCATGACGTCATCAGTGCTCCGGAGACTTCATGACGTCATCAATGCTCCGGAGACCTAATGATGTCATCAGTGCTCCGGAGACTTCATGATGTCATCAGTGCTCCGGAGACTTCATGACGTCATCAGTGCTCCGGAGACTTAATGATGTCATCAGTGCTCCGGAGACTTCATGATGTCATCAGTGCTCCGGAGACTTCATGACGTCATCAATGCTCCGGAGACCTAATGATGTCATCAGTGCTCCGGAGACTTCATGATGTCATCAGTGCTCCGGAGACCTAATGATGTCATCAGTGCTCCGGAGACTTCATGATGTCATCAGTGCTCCGGAGACTTCATGACGTCATCAATGCTCTGGAGACTTCATGACGTCATCAGTGCTCTGGAGACTTCATGATGTCATCTGTGCTCTGGAGACTTCATGATGTCATCAGTGCTCCGGAGACCTCATGATGTCATCAGTGCTCCAGAGACCTCATGATGTCATCAGTGCTCCAGAGACTTCATGATGTCATCAGTGCTCCGGAGGCCTAATGATGTCATCAGTGCTCCGGAGACCTAATGATGTCATCAGTGCTCTGGAGACTTCATGACGTCATCAGTGCTCCGGAGACCTCATGATGTCATCAGCTCAGAGAAGACAGTCATCCTGATGCTGGCTGCAGGTGCAGTGTTGTATGAAGTACGTCAAACTGATACTTGAGTAAAAGTACAAGTATCTCATTATAAAAATACTTTGGTAAAAGTTAAAGT